TGGCTGGGTGTCGGTCGGCGGGTGGTGAGCAATTGCCCTGCGCATCATTTGTACATTCCAATCCTTTTATTACTACTGTTGTCATTTTATTAGTGTTATCATTATCATTATTAGTTTCTTCTTTTCTGTTCTATTAAACCGTTCTTATCTCAACCCACGAGTTTTACTTCTTTTTCCCGATTTTCTCCCCCATCCCACTGGATGGGGGGAGAGTGAGTGAGCGGCTGCGTGGTGCTTAGTTGCTGGCTGGGGTTAAACCACGACAACTACTTAGCAACAACTGAAAACATCAGTGTGTTATCAACATTCTTCTCATATCTAACTCAAAAACATAGCACTATACCAGCTGCTAGGAAGACAATTAACTCTATCCCAGCTGAAACCAGGACAGCACTTGCTGAAGGAAGCAGAACGATAGGTCGGCTGAGCTCTGAGGGATCCCAGTTGCCAATGGGATATGCAACAACACAGCATCAAGCAAGCAGTCTGCACAGGCCCACCGACATAAGAGTCTGACTCCTTCTAGCCTGTCTATGGCGTGAGCTCTTGTATTTTGAATTCTTTCAAGATGCGTGCTATTACTGGCACATGCACACACACGGGCACACAGGGATGGTATAATAAAACAGTGGCATGGTCTGTTCTAATCTATTTTAATTAGAAAAAGCCTATTAGAAAATTGCCTGCAGTATGGCATTAGTGCATGAAAATTAAGATTTATTACCATTGTCAAAAGAAGGGCTCAGAGGACTTGTTTGGTGCCAGTAGCTATTTTTATTGTTTGTTTTCTAATATAAACATCAATTTGAATCTAAGCAATATTGAAATATTAAATACTATTGCAATATATGGATTAAAAAGCAATCAAAAAAATCACCACTCAGCAGGAGTAATTTCAAGATGAACTGTGAAACCATTCAAAATCCTCCTTTTTTTAAAAATGGTCTTTACCTGACCTTTCAGACCTGTGACTAAAAATGTAGGGATAGGATAATTGCAAACTTGGAATTTTTGCTTTGTTTTATTTAATATTTTGTGTTATCCTTAGTTCAAAGAAAAAATACTATTGTCACAGTTTTATAAGATTCTTCTTTTTTGTGTGTGTGGATTTAAAAGGTATACTACTACACTGCTTGTAACCATACTGTTAAGCTGGTACTTAAGAAAAACTGAAATAACTATCTGTTATAATTGTCAAAGACAAATGCATAATATAAAGGGTCTGTGTAAATAAGAGCAGTAAATTAGATTTATGCAGTTCTGTCTTTAGTGCTGGTAGAATAGCAGTGGTCTTACTAGTGGTACTAACTTTGTGCTACTCATAGGGAGAAGTAGTCAGTCAAACTGCAAAGCGTGACAAGCTGTACACATGCTAAACTGAAAGAACAGGGATTTAAACTTTATACAAATTTTGACTACAACACAGAAGTCAAGAAGCCTTGACTATGTTCCCCAAATTTATGTGGAATGGGACTTAAAGCTAGATTAGGAGGACCCATTCAGAATTATTTTGGCCTCCCCTTCCTGTATTCCTTGAACATAAACACCTAGAAATTGCTACCATAAAATTTCCTGGTACTGAAGGAACTTAAGGCAACTGTTGCACCTGCTTTTTTTTTTTTGCTTTTTTTTAATCTCTCCTTCTTGTGATACTGTATCATTTTTGATACACTGTAGATTTTATACAGCTTTGGGCCTTTAAATTTTAAGCTGGCTAAAAGGTTTTTACTGCTGTTTTATGACGTGTGTGATAGAGGTATTGTGGCTCCTTTTAATGAAACATCTCCTGCTGTCTCCACGTGTGTTGGCCCAGCCTTGAAGGCTACCGTGGTCCCTGCTGGTCCAGTGACCCTGCAGCTCTCTGTAGTTGTTCTGCTGCTTGCATGGTGACACAGCAAGAAGATGGGAGTTATTCCCTGGAGCAACGGTATGAAGTCATTTATACTGTGTGGTAGCTAGGATGCTTGTTGTGACAAATTTGCCCAAAATACGGACTCGGGACTGTTGCTGGTGAGTGGAATGGCTGCAGTTATCCTGGTCTGGGAGGAAAAAGAAAGCTTGTGTTGCGAGCTGTGCTGGGTCACGTCCCCGGCTCTTAGGGGCTAGAGAACGAGCCCCGGGTCTGTTTGGCTCGCTGGTATGGGAGCAGCTTTGCTATCTTGCTGCCATGGTGATATACTCAGTGCTTGCAAGAAGCTGCATCGAACAGTTTCTGCAAATACACTTACAGAAGTGTAAAAACCTGCATGAGACAATGGTCATCTTACCAAGAGTGTGAGCCATGCTGATGAATAAATGGCATAAAGCAGTGTCCCAGACCTGAATACCTCTTTATCTTTGGCACTTCTTAGTTTTTCTTGCCAGTAGTACAAGGCAATGTTTTAACATTTTTCTCTTAAATCCTACTGTGTGTCTGACTGCAGCCTTAGTTCTGGGCACCCAAAAGCTGTCATTTCTAATTCTTTTCATACATTGCTGTGATTACACCTAGCAGCAGAAAAAAAGGTTCAACTTTTATTTATTTTGGAAGTAGGCTTTGTAGATGGTTGAAGATTTTCCTATGCTGCATTGCTGTAACATTTTAGGTGATATATTAGAAAACACAGATTTAAATGTATATTTGAAGTGTATAAAAGTGACTAATATGCATACAACATAAGCAGCATATTCAGTGTAACTGTTAGGTAAAATGATAAATTTCTCACTAAATTTCAGGAAACTTGTTTCTGTTTGTCTGAAGAAGTTGCTTCTGTGTTTTAGATTTTCACAGACTGAAATAAAATGCTTGTGTCTGGTTTGTTCTGAGGTGCATGAGTTTGTTTCTTCTGGGATGTGCACTAGTTTGGAAGTTTTGGAAGCTTATTTTAAAAATAAATATGTCAGACCTTTTCTTTATGCATACGGGAAAATGTTCTTATTGCTCGGAAACTTATTACCTCTTAAACAAAATATCAGGAACAATGGAAATACTATGAAGTTGGTTTTCAGCAGCAAGCATAACATTGCTTCTTTCTCTTACACTTTTCCTGCTTTCCCATATACTTTCCCACTTTCCCATTCCTTTATTTTTTTTATGTGACATTTTAATTACAGGGTAATAATGAAAATTAAGAAAATATCTATGGCAACAGAAGTTAGACTTTTATATTTTTATATATGTGTGGTTTTACAAATTTTCTTCAGTAGAAAAATACACATTATATTTGTTTCGACATTTGGTTTTAGAATACAATATACTTTACCTTCATGCAGCTATGTAAGTTGCATGTCAGGACATTGTCTTTAGGAAGTTTCACATTTATCTAGGGCTGTACACAGTTGTATCTGATTTAGTACTGCAGGATTTCATATTGTAGAATAAGGTAGTGCTATGCCATGTTGTAATATTTAATCTGAGATGCGGAGGGCATTGCCTATCATACTGAGCAACAGTCTCCCATTGTTTCCTTGAATCCCATCTATCACCTGTGCATTTATTTTCCTTGTAAGTACTGTGGGCCAAGGACTTGCCAAAGTGCCTCAGTTGCTGTGACAATCATAGTAACAATGTCAGTTACTTTGTGTAGCAATAAAAAAAAGACTTTGCTCTTCAGTCATCTTGCAATGACATGTTTTATTTCAGCCAAACACAACAAAACTCTCAAGCCTTTTGAGTGCTATCCTAAGTGTGTACTTTACCTGTGAGGCGCAATCAGAAAATACGTACTTAATGTAAGAATCTTTATTTTAATGCATAATGCTTTCCTTGTGGTACAAACAGAAAACAGTTTAAATTATGAGTATTGTTTGTGACATGAATTATTTAACAATGTCTGAGGGATTTAAAATACATCTCAAGGTGATACCTGAAGGACAGTTTTGAGAGTGTTTTCATCCTGAGGTGTGTTTCATATTGACAGCTATGGCAGCAAGATCTTCAAAGAATTTTAGATCTTACGTAAAAGTTTTAGAGTCTCAGGTCATTGACTGGAATGTGCTCATGCCATTAAAACTTTTTTAATCTTAATCTCTTTCAGTCCCAGCAAAGATGCATTGTGATCTTTGCACTGGTATGCTGCTTTGCAATTCTGGTTGCACTGATATTTTCGGCAGTGGATATTATGGGAGAAGATGAGGATGGACTCTCAGAAAAGAACTGTCAAAATAACTGTCGGTAAGAGGTAACAAACAAAACTTCTCTTTTGGGGTGGACAAGAACATATATATGTTATATAATGGCATGTAGTAATTACCATAGTCCTGTGGTGTAATTGGGAAGAGTAGGTAACAGAGGAAGAAATGGGTTCTTGTTTTGAATTTCTGGTGTTGGAGGTTGGTTTGACAAAATAAAGCACATTTTGAAGTTATTTTTGGTGGTATGTTTTGAGCAAGACCCTTGTGTTACTTCAGTTATTTTGTAAGCCTGGGTCAAAGCCCATTAAATTTCACTAAATGAGTACTGAGCTGGCTCACATAGTTTCCAATCTGTCATGTCTGTCTTTCATCAAGAGGTTTTTTTTCTTTCTCCAAGAAGGTCACTGATCACTTTTGACCTAAGACTGCAGTCCTTTTTATATAGGGGGACCTTTTATATATTCCTGTTTGTTGCATTCCCCTAATAGATACAGGGGCTTGCCTAGAAACTGTGAAGAAAATTAGCAATACGGTCAGAAAGACTGGCATATTGGCTATGTTGGATTAAGGTTTACATTGGACACCTGCCACAGTTGTGTATATCTTTTAACTTTAGATTTAAGTAGGTGATTAGATTTTTTGGGGGCCTTTCATTTCCAGACTGAATTTCATTTTGTTGCTCCTTACTGTCAGGTTCTTCCATTAATCTGTTCATCAGTGATGACCAATGCTTTTCCTGCATGGTATTGTCCAAGGTCCTCTTCTGTCCTCCCGTAGAGCTGATTTAACATTTGTAGACTTCATTCACAATTGTATTCTGCTTCTTTTCAAGGCTTTAACTTGTGCATAGAGCACCCCCTCTGATTCATGTTGTGGAAAAACAGTCATCCTTAAGTAACTTATCAGAACTCCGTTTTAATCTGATCAGGGAATTGCTGGAGTGGGAAGGACCCACTGGGCATCCTCCAGTCCATTTTCCTGCTCAGAGCAGGGTCAGCTACAGCTACAGGTTGCTCAGAGATGTGCACAGTCGGGCTTTGCATACCTCCAGGCATGGAGTCCACAGCCTCCCTGGGCAACTGGTTCCACTCTTTGTACAGAATCTATCCAGCTACTAATGGCTGAGTATACAGTGAGTTAGAGATAATTGATATGTATTTTTTAGAATAATCTAATGAAGAATTACTGTTTCTTTGAGCTTTTTCTCCTTATTTCTGCTACTATTTGTTGATTTTGTGTGAAAAATGTTTGGGGACAGTGCCTTTCTGCGCTGCACCTGTCACAGTGCAGTCAGCAGCAATTCACAATCCAGCAAACTGGATTATGTTTTTGCAGTTATACTGGATTTTTACAAAATTTTTTACAGGCTGCTTTAAAAAAAGGGGCGCGCGGGGCGCGGGGAGGTTCTTAAATTTGTAGCTCCTTTCAAATAGGACGTATCTGCAGCATCATGTACCTTTGCCCTGAAACCAACCATCCTTCTGGCACCTTTTTTCCAGCATTGTTTTGATTTGTAAGATGGCTTGGCCCTAGCTGTTCACTTTCTTGTATGCCTACAGTTCTGGGCAGCCTTCTAATATCTTGTCTGCATTTTTGAGAGTTCAGCTAGCTTTACTTTCCCCATCAAGGTCTTGGGTATTCTTCACTGTGAGTTGCTGCCTTTCAAAATTTTTAAAGATACTGCATGTGTCACCTCTACACCCACTATCTCCATGTGTGAATCTTTGACAGAACTAGGTCAGATGAGGGGAAAGTCTTTCTGCTCATTGGCGTTAATGTGCTGCACATGACTTCAAGACACACAACAACTACTGCACCATGTTCTCCTCTTCATTGTATCAACTAATGGCTCCCATTTCGTTCTGGGTAGCTGCATAGGCCTAGCCAAGGAAGAACTTAATCTTCTTCACTTTGTATTCTTCAAACGGAAACAAATTCAGAGTGGGAGTGATGTACAGTGCTATGGAAAACCGGGATGTTAATTCTTCCATGTGTAAGAGATTAATTGCTTTTGTCTCTTTGTACGGGTTACACCAATCTGCCTTTCCAAAGAATACTCACCTTTGCTCAGTTTTTTGTTGGTTGGCATGTGTCACTCTTGACTCTCCTGGACTGTGCTAGAGGAGCCTGGGAGTAAATCCAGCACATTGACTTTAAACAGAAGAGTCAATGAAACTGCTCTGCATTTACCGTGATAAAAGTGATCTCAGACCCCAGCTCTATTTTAAGGTGCCTTTCACAGAGCGATTCAAGTGCGTGATGTAGCTACTAATGCCTGAACCAGAAGGCACATCAATGCTGTGTGTGTGTATAAACTGCCTAAACCATTTCTAATAACAGTATCCAAGTGCTGGCAGCTGCTACCTGCTAACATTGAATCCTTCTCTACATGATGAAACTGGGCTCCTTTATGTGTTAAATATATTGCAGACTTAACTGAAGTGCTGTAAGATCAATTGCTGCCTGTGGCATATATTTAGTACTTGGGATAAGCACTTTTAATAAGTAAGACAAGAATTATTGAATTCTTATATTTCTGCTGTGTGAGTACTTTCACTGAAATTCAGGAACAGGTGCTTACGTTTGCAGGATGTTCTGAGACAGAATGGTAATAGATGGTCCATTTTGGTTTTTGTTTTTTGTGTTGTTTTTTTTTCTTGTTTTAGATGAAAAGATTGTCAAATACAAGTTTACATATATGATCCTAGAATTTTTTTTTGCTTTTAATTGATCGAATTAGTGAAGAAGCTTGATAGGAATGGATGCTATCAATTTGAGAAGGACTTCACTGATGGTTTGTTAAAGGCTTTCATCTTCTGAAAATCAATTTCATTTCTGTCTTTTTATTTTAAAGAAAAATACGTCTGAAATAGAGCTGTGGTCTAGAATAGTTCTTTGGCTAGAAATTTTTGGAGCTTGTGCCAAAAAATAGCAAGTGAGAATTTTTAAAAGAGAGAGAGAGAAAGAAAAAGTAAAAGGAAGACATTTTTAGAAGTCTAGAGCTTTTTGTAGCCTGAGACAGGAATTGTTGAGGTATGTTGTAAGCAGTATTTTCCAGTAAAGGCTTAATCTTTTTTTGTTGCTGTGATTGTATTGTTGTTCATGAATACAAATGCAGCCTTTCTGATCTGTTTCTTGTAATTCAACGTGAGGTTCCTCTCCTGTTTATCACTCCTTGGACTATTGTTACATAAGGAATACTTACTGCACATGTTGCCGAAAAGCCCTTCCTCTTTACTGATGTATTTATTTCTCATGGAGGCTTTGTAACATAAACAAGTCAGGGAAGTGGAAAGGCTGGCTTTTTTGCATGTCTTCACCGATTGTTGAAGGGACTGTTGCCATCTGTCTAAAAGGGTGCATAGGAAACAACACTTTTTGAAGAAATAAAAATATGTTTGAAACTAAAATTATCAATTATAATTTGTAATCTTTGAGCTTCTTGTTAAAAAATTCAGCCTATGATTGAGAACTGAAATGCATCTTGCCTTACAGGTCATTCATGACTGCCACAACATGAAGTCAGTTTGCTGTAGGCTACAAACCATTTCCTATTTTGTTTGTTACACAGACAGAGGAACCTGATATTCAATAATATTCAAGAGGAACTTGAATAATTGAGATTTAACTAAGAAATGACTGAAAATATTTTTTTTTTGTCTTTTGATGTGTAGATACAGAAACTCAGATATTTTTTTTTTAGCCTGCTTTGCATGTTGTAGTCCAAAAATAAAAATAGGCAATTTAAAAGAATTTAAACCCCACCCTAATAATTGAGGGTAAATATTATGGCAAATAAACATACTTACCAGATTAATTACCAACTACCACTGTAAAAATTACTGTGTATTCTACTGATACGTACTTTGCAATTCAAATAAAGAGCTGGGGGGAGATGGAGGAAGGCCTGTAAAATTTATCAGGCAGACAAATGCTGGCTTCAGAATTGAAATCAGAATCTGAACTCTACTGACTGGAAAACTATTGGTTTAGATTAAATAATGCTGTTTGTACTTATTTACACTATCCCGTATAACTTTCTTACTGTGAATTATATGTGGAGAGACTGGCTGACTGAAAGTAGACTTTTTATTTTATTTTTTTACAACTGGACCAGATCTGCTAAGAGGCAGCTTTTCACTTTGTGCTCTTGGCTTTGTTCCATAAAATCCGATTTCAGAATGCTGGACTTAAAAAACACAAATGGCTTTTGACCCTTCCTATTAAAAGGAATGCCAACTGATTGACATTTAAGGAATAAAAAAAGTAGTAATGACTGTGAAAAGTTGAGGTTTTGCAGTTTGTGCTTGGTATGGCGTACAAATAATTCTCTTGAGACTTCCACATTAATGTTGTTAGGCAGCCCTGATGGATGAGACTGGTTAAGAGGATATGCCTAGCAGTCTGGGAATTTTGCCTGTCTTGCTGTGCATCCATTAGACACTGCATCTATAAAATTAGATTATTGTAATTTGAAAATAGTACTTTTTAGTGGCTGATCCCTTGTGAATAAATCTTGGCTAGCCTCTGACGTAACACCAGTTAAGTCTTACTTTGCTTTGTTGAAACTAGCTGGTAAACTCTAAAAATGGTAATATGGAAAACCGAAGAAATTGCAACTGTTAAGAGATGGTCTCTGTTATCCAAAGTGTTTGAACCAAGGTCGTTTTGATTTATTACCAGTACCTTCAGCTGTTCAATATACCTCTTCTCCTGCTTGTTGCTGCTGACAGTCATGCTAGGGTTTCTACAGAGCTTGCACATGCCCTTAATTATCCTTGTCTCACTGTTTTTTCCCAATATCCATTGAAGAGGTAGTAGCAGCTGGCATAGCTCCTGCCTCTGGCTGTGGGTTTGGCCCTGTCTCTTGAGAGGGGCTAAGGAACAGCAAGGTGGAAAAGGAAGCAATGGTAGCTACTTTCCATGGTTCCCATGTTTAGGGTGTACTAAAACTGTTGTCATAATGTTGGGGGGGGGGGGGGGCTTGCAATTTTTGCCTTTCTCTGATGATAATGGGAGGATTTTCTTGCTTTTTGTGTG